GTGACAGGAAAACCGCCGAAGTTTAATTACATCCCTCTAAATTCACTCATAACAGCACATCTTCGGAGATATCCAGTATAAGCGAGCCATAAGTTGTGATAAGAATGAGACGCAATGATAGTGGGTATACGAACGTAACAGAGATGATGAGATGACAGTAGCGGAAATTGGTTCTAGGGGGCATTTCATTTGTCCCCTTTTATCGATTTGCATTTTGGTGATAAGCCTGACAAGATTCCATATTAGATTAGTTAATATCCTCCATTGTAATAATTTGCCCCTTAGATTAGATAATTTGTGGTTGGATTTTCCCATAATATTATAAGTACACCTCGCGTTTCCGTTGAATTTTAGACTTGCTCCCTAAAAGGTTTTCTTATGCAGGGCGGATTGCAGTTTCGACCTTACTTGAGTCTATGGCTGATATCTGTAAAAAAACGGTATAGTTGGCAATCTCAAATAAGAAATGTAGTATGGGAAATGCTCATCTCCCATGCAGCCCACGGGCGTTTGGGGCAGTGGAGCGTAGTGGTTAATGTGCCGACATGCTGAACTACAAGGATTCGAGTCCCGCTGGGATGGCGAGTAAGACCTAAGCTACTGAAACTGCAGATCACTCTGAATGATAGTACTTTTTGAAGGCCAGGCTATGTGAAATTCAATGGAGGCTCACTGGGAATATTCTATTACCTGTTCTTCATCACTACCACAATAGTGTTAATGAATATTATATTCTTACAATATGTCTGGCTATATAGAGTGCAATTTTTCATACTTATTAGATTAATTTTCATCCGCCACCTGCCTTTTACATGAGATACTTTATTTCTTACTGATAACTGCTTCTTTTTTTGGCAAACATTCCTCTAACATGATGGCTACTAGCTCTGCAACATCCACTTTGTGTTGTTTAGGAATGTGCTGAATTTCTCCTGTATCCTACTTTTTCCTGTATGGGCCTTTTTTTCTACATCCATACAAATAATTGGAATATTCTTTCTCTTTTCATTAGATACCAATTAAAGACTTCTCTTTTGGCGACTCCAGCTGGCTTTCAGGAACTGCCATTGGATCGCCCTCATCCTTACGTGGTCCAGTGTCCTATCAGGTTAGTCAGCTCTGCAGTGGTTACAATTGTTTTTGATTTTTTAAACTTATCATTTCAAATTAAATGGATTACAATTTAATTTAATTTCCTTTTTAAAACTCATGCTACAACTTATTTTTTGCAGCCAAAAGCACCACGAGACTTCAACTCCTCTCACTCCGGGGCTATTCGTCAGCCCATCCCTTCGGTTGACGTTACATCCCCATTACTTCTTCTTGATCCTCTGATCGGCACGCATCTTCATCTCACGGTAGCAGACGCGCAACAAGCCAGGCCAGTCAGTCCTTTTCATGGCAAGTTGCTAATAACGATGATAATTAAGACAGGCTTTGCCACATACATACACGTGCACACTGCCTGAAGTATATCATACATAATAGATAATTCACATCCCTTCTGATGTGCCTTGGAACTTGCTACAATAGACAAGTATTTATGTTCCATTTGGCTAGATTTGTAGATATTGGGCCTTTGGCAGTGAAACGAAGCTCCTTTTTGGAGATATAAATTGCACAATTGGCCTTTGTCCACTAGGTCAACTCTATTATGGCTAATTATTTGTCGAATATCGAATACCTGTAGTTTCTTAGCCGATTTGCCATCCACTAGATATCATGGAAAGCAAAATAAAATTAGAAATGCGAGTGAGAATTGTTTGTTTGGGTTTATTTTTTTCTTTGTGCTGATGATTGTTTTATGATTTGACGATTGATTACTAACATCTGAACATATCACCTTCCTTATTTCATAACATGGTTCCTTGTTTCAAAATCTCAGCAGTTAGAAATTTTCCTCTAAAACTCATCTCGTTTTATCCTACGATTGGAGTTACTCCTAATATGATAATCTATTTTTCATATATTAATAGAGTTTCGAGACTACCAGTAAATCAGTAACATGAGATGTATTCACCCTATTTCGTTTAAGGTGATGAAGGACTGGTAATAGAATTTTTCCACAATGATAGGAATAGAGCTAACGTTTTTATTGAATTTCACATAGTCTTGCTTTCCCAAAAACATTTTCTTATCCTGGCTGGAATAGACTGCAGTTTCGACCTAGCATAGGTCTTATAAACATTCCCAGCGGGAGTCGAATCGTGACAGTGCAGAATGTGAGCTTGACACGTTAACCACTCGGCCACATTGCCA